TTCCCATATTCCTTAGATGTTTACGTATTGTTTCATGAGAGACATGCAATTTCAGGGCCATTTCACGAGTGTGTTGGGTTAGACTCAAAAAGCGACTTTAGAGCATCAATATAAATTCCAACATGTCGGCCCCTGCCATCACAGTTTTAAAGGCTAAAGCCACCTGAATGAAATTTGCTGAACTATCGTTGACACTTACGAACGTTCAAAACATTTCCATAAACATCTTTGATATTCTTTGTGGCTACAGAGGCGTTGTTTCCCTTCTTGTATTCAAACAGCATTACATGCCTAATATGTGTCATCACTATAAGGGATTAAAGTATACTAACTTTACACGTTATATACGCTACACTAACGTGACGTTTAAGTGGTTTGTTTAAGCATTATACGAAATGTACGTTTTTTAGGGGGTGGTTAATGAAAGTGTTCCAAAACGCGACAATAATTTCTTGACGACCTATTAACATAACAAATTAACAATAACAAAATAGATAGACAGATATTAACTTTTTTATTTTACTTCTCTTGCCAGCTGCCATTTAGTTGATCAAACCTGAGAACACAATGTCAGTAATATAGATAATAAAGTACAGACAAGACTGTCAAACTTTTTAACAAGCCGTTTGTGAAACTTCTGTATCTAGATATGTATCGTAACGACTACTATGATGAAATACACACCCCTAGACTAAAAACATAGTTTGAATTTCAATATGAGAACCCCCCCCCCTGTGGCTTAGCGGCTAGCCTACAGGGCTTACAACTCTAAAAATCGGGTTTCGATACTTGGGATGGGCAGAACAGAGATAGCCCATTGAGTAGAGGATAGATAAGACAATCGTGAACTCCAGCGAATCTTACAAGTTGTTTTATTTGTTCAACGTTTGGGTTTTACGTCTTTACCAGGAACTGAACTCTATCACTCAATTTAATAATTAATTGTAGTTTTATAAGCCCTCAAGTTTACTGCTGAGCAAAAAGCAAAAGTAGAAGAACAAAAACTAAGCTTTATTAGCTTGTAAGCAAGATCGTAACTAGGAATTTGATCATTAATTAATCATTAAAGATACTGTTTTTTATCTTTCAGTTCAACATCGTGGATAACATTACTTATTTTTGCAGGGACGTAGAGAGGAGGAGGGTCGAACGACCACCATGGTGGTCTAAAAAGTATAGACGGTCCCAAGGTCTTCTGCTTTAAAAAATAAATAAATATTTGTGTCTTTTAAGTTTCAATACTTCCATTTTACAAGTTTCATTTAGGCTAAAGTAAATCGCTGAAATTCTCTATGTAGAAGAAAAGGTCCACAATATCGGGAAAATACCCCCCCCCTCCACACGCACACCTACATTGTGTAGGGTTGGCTACAAAACCTTGTTTTACATACGATTTCTTTTATACTGAGAGAGAATGCATGCAGGAACAAATAACTTGTATTCGATGACGAGG